AGCTTGTTATACTCTCATAAAACATGCTTAAATTAGCCAATCACAATCCTTTTTCTAGAATGGCGAAATCTCGGATTTGACGGTGAGGGTAAAAGAAGGAATGAGATTGCAGAATGGCATGTGGCATGGCTTGAGGACATAACTATGCGGAAATTTTATTTATCGAAAATGGCGCAAACAAATAAATTAAACAGGAAATCACGCGCGTGTCTCTGCCGTGTCGTTTTTGGCGTCAATTTGAAGGAGCAACCGCTTTGCCGGTCCATTTATTACTGCTACTAAAACAAGGTTAAAAATTGAAACACAGCTGATAGTTCAAGTTCAGATCAAGTTTATTAAAAAGACTTTGGATACGTGCCATAATTAATCCTTGTCCGCAAAGTAGCCTATAGCTAATCGAGGCGGGAAGAAAGAAGTAACAAATGTTACAATAATATGGTTAAAACATAACAATAAAGTTAAACAGATACACGAACATCAACATATTAAATTAACAAGACAGAGAATACATATATTTCAAAATAGGTAAATGAAACAAGGTATGAATGAAATTAAACTGATAATTTAATATTTACTTAATATGTCAATAAAGTACGCAGGCCAACATTAGTATCCTCCTGTATCAAAATATCCAGTAGCCGACTCTGCAAGGTATTCTTAAATTTATATTTAGGTAGAACACGATCACTGTCGGGAATACTATTCCATATTTTTGCACCAATTCTTGAAAAGGAGTTCTTCACTTGGTCCGTTCTCGAGTGCTTAATATGGAAATTGTCAGTACACAAATACTTGATATACACCAGTACTTGATAAGTCATCGATAACTCTTTCCAAAATAAACAGAAACGGTTCTTTACTGACGTCTCTTTTCCAGTGAAGCGCAGTGAAAGTACGAAAACATGTCAAGTTTAACCAGTCTTCTATCGAGTTTTTACTCTCCTCATTACATAGAAAAACATCGTAACGGTAGACGAGGTAATAGAACAGAGGAAGAGGGAGGACAGTGGGAACGAATCGAAGCTGTTAGGAAACGGCAGACTCGGTAGTCCAAATGAAATAAACAAATATAGAGCCTCGTAAATACGTGCAGAAGTACCGTGTCGTAAATCTGTCTGGGTTTTTAGGGGTATATAACCTCTACTTCTTGGCTAAACTCAAATCAAGGATGACTCTTTATCGTAACGCTAGAGGGATCTAGAGGGTAAGGAACGCTCGCTGAACGAGAAGTCGGGCTAGCTACAATTCTAGGGATTTTTTAATGCGGTGAACGAATCAGATCAAATTGGAGACTAAATGAACGCCCCGAGTCAAACATTAATCTGTAATCCACAAATCGAGTGAAGCAAACTGCTCTCCAGTGTCTCCTTTCGGCCTTTCCACGTCTCTCTGCACCTCCCTTGATTGTGTGAGTGCCGGTGTGCGTTTGATCGTGAAAAAATGCTAAAAGTAGGAAGGAAAAAAAAAAAGAAAAGGAAAGAAAAAAAGAGAAAAAGCACACAAACTCAATTGCAAGGATTATTCAAGCTCGTGCTTCTTCGCCAGCTGTTATTAGCTTCGCGCGCCTGAAACTTTACCACGCAGCCAAGGAAACAAAATACAAGATACCGTCGATCTCCGAATATTACGGACCTTAAGTTAGGGTGGACGGTAACGTGGAGGATGGCAACCGGAAATAAAAGTTGCCCGATTTGAGGTAATTAGCACATATCTCAGCCGTCCAACCTACGTCGTCTGCACGTCGCGACGGTGAGAAAGCTGAGTGAGGCAGTGTCTCGAGAACGTGAGTTTTAATCTGTTTCTGGAGTGTCTAGTTTACTTCAAATGGTAAACCTTTTTCAATTACTTACTTAACACTATTTTATGATTGAATATGACACGAGCTTGTGCAGCAAGTGGTACAACTACAGGATTAGAATTCCCAGCTTTAAAATAATCACATTTAAGTATTCTCTCACCATCTGAACATCGGCTTTTATCCTTTTTTTCATTCACGAAGTTTTTAGTTTATTATTGTGTTAGTTTATTATCGTGTTAATTGGTTAACCTTCATTCGACAAAATAAAGCCCTGTGTAAAGCGGGATGAAGGAACTTGTTTATTTCTGAGCGCAACTTGCCAATCGTATTTTATAATTTGTTGTTATTTTAATGAAGATGGAGTGGACTGAAGATCACGATATTCAGCTTGCTAAAGAAGTTCTTGGAAGTGAGCCCTACCGCTTCAAGCCCTTGTCTGTGTACGCTCGATTACAAGCCGTAATGCACCTATCAATGTAATGCTGGCGGGCGAGGCAGGGCATGGGGTGGGGATTTGATTGTCTTTGTTGGTCGGGGTTGATCGTACAAATATCTTTTGCAGAAAAAAAAAATTAAAGTAGAGGGAAGCCGGTGACCCTCCAAAACATCTCAAGGGCAGACTTTTGTGATGTAGTATGGGTGCTGCCATGCAGCCCGTCTAATAAAGGCAAGTAGAATATATTTGATGCTGTGCGAAAAAAGCTAATCGACCGTGAAAAATCAAGGAGTCCTTCCTGGCTTTTTGATTGTCATCGTTGTTGAGCCCGCAACATTAAAAAAGCGGCTGCTTGTGAATTGATTGGCGCCAAAGAGGGCACAATTTTCAGTTTAATTTATTTCTTTGAGTCAATCTGCTCATATTACATTCCGCATAATTATGTCATTCCGCAAGCCATGCCACATGCCATTCCGCAAACTCATTCCCCCTTTTACCCTCACCGATTGATTGTTTGAATAAGACAAAAGCTGTCAAAGCAGAGGGGCACCCAACGACAACTTTCGGGAAAATATCTGTTCGGAAGACGATTTGAGATCTAGAATTTTCGGAACATTTGTTGTAAAATTTCTTGCTTGCCTGCCTCTCCTAGGATTTTCGAAAATCTACAAAATGGTAAAGTTGCCCATTTTCAACGGATTTTTACCCTAAAAAGGTCACCTAGAATTTTCGGGAGCCTTTTTTCTGGCTGAAATTTTTGAACGGGTAAGTTTTGATCCCTGTAATTTTCTGATCACTAGACTTTCAGCTAGGAAATCCGAACAGATGAAAAATTTATAGGGGATAAAAATATGCCCATATCCACCGTTTAAATACTAAAACACGTTTAACAATGCTATGTTTAAGTGGTTTTGAACTATATTCTCGTTGGGTGCCCCTGAAAGCATCAAAGCTATCACAAAGTGAAACGAGCGAAACTTTCAGTAATTTGAATGCATAAGAAATGTACTTTTTACGTCCAAAATTCAGTTTCTAAAGGTAAAAAGTGCTTTAAACCCGCACGAATTGCGGTTCACTGATGGTCTTCGTTAAACATAACAATTTGAAAGCAACCTGCTTTAGCCTCGTATCGAGAAGTGCCTAAGAAAACTGAACCTGAAGTAAGCTCACTAAAAAATTCTATAAAATAGGCCACTTCCGAGTTCCAAAAATCCCTCACTTTCAAAATGAGGCTAGGTGCACAACCTTTCTTGTGGAAATGAGTTTTATTTGCATGAGAATGAAAAATGATTTCCATATCAAAAGGCTGAGCACCTACCCTCGTTTTGAAACAGAGGCCCGGGGGAACTTGGAAATGGCCTGTTCGCCGACGTTTCCTCTGAAGTGATGCTGTGGTCTCGTGATCGTGTTTTGAGCTTATGTTATGAATGAACAATAGCTCAAAAAAGATAGACAGAGAAGTTATTTATTGAAAATTTTTATTCAAAAACTAAGAAGTTTACCGTTGAAAACAAGCAAAATCGGATGAGCACATGGCAAAATTCAGCACAAAATCCATCTATTTTGTAATTTTCTTTAGCGTCTATTACAAACGTTTGTGAAACATTTATACATTTACATAAATTCCCATTTAAAAACGTCATTTTCTTGACCATAGAGTAAAAAATGTACCTGAAAAGTCTTCAAAAACGTCGCTTCCTCTGTTTTGTCCTTTTTTATTATCCACTTCAAAGTGAAGGTAATTCAAAACTTCAACCTCTCAAACTTCCTTGTTTCCCTTTTAGCCTTAACCACCATTCTTTTTACACTGACGTTTTTGTTTTACAGGAAAGTATGTGCATGGTTTCTTTAAGGCAAATGATTAAGTATAGATCAACTTTAAATTGTTTCAAATTGTTAGAAATGCTTCTATTTCCTGCTGTTATTACCTTGAAATTATTTCTATCTTTGCTTGATCCAGTTTACAAAATTTTGTTACATGTAAAGCCCCAATTCAACTTTTCACTGGTACAATATTTTTGGAGATTAAAATCACAGCTTTTTTTCTCCTGTCTAATGACCGTGTGCCTTTTTGTTTCTCATGCCTTTTTACTGAACCTTGGTATTACAAAAAATTGTTCTTTAAACTGTGAACTTCAATATCCTGTTTACTTGGCAACTGCTGCCTTTTTGCTGATAATTTCTGCACTCCCATTTTCATTCTTTGTGGGTTTATATGTTGTGACTATTATTATATTTGGGGAGACCTTTGATGTCAGTTCAAGATCCTGTACAGAAATGCCACTCCTTTTTCCAATTTTATATCTCTCATTTGGTGTACTTTTAAGTTATCCCTGTGCCAGACTGCTTGAATTACATACACCACCCTGGTTTCCTGTTTAGCATGTTGATAAGATCTAAAAGGTTGATGACAACAATTCAAATTGTTGATATAACAGGCAAGCCACACACCCTCCCTTTTGCACCATATGCCACAATAAAAGATCTAAGATCTCAAATAAATACTAAATTCAGAATAACAAGTGATTTGTACTGGTTGTCATGCTGTGGAAAGCCTATGTTTAATTTTTTACTTTTGGAAGAAATAAGAGGAACAGTTTTTATGCATGGGCGATTGATGGGAGGTGTACAATGCTGTCTGAAGGGATGTGAGAATGAGGCAGGATGAAGAAAATTTGATAGTATGGTTGGGCGGTATGAACTGAAATGTGCCCCTGATGATGTTATCCCTGAAAATCTCAAAGATCTTAGGGTATGTGATAAACATTACGGCAGTTTATCAGCAAGAGGGCATAAGCCTCCTAAGGGGAAAAGCTCCACTAGATCACGCAGCGATGCCCAGCTGGGCATCCTGAAAGTTACACCATGTATAGTGCCTTGTTCACAATGTGGCAACAAGGTTTGCCTGAGTAGTGATGTTCCCTGCAAGAAACACCACATAAATATTTTTTAAAATATGTTTTCAGTGGGATGCAATTTTTTGGATGAAAGAACTGGCAATAAGACTGATTTACATAATGACTTGTATAGTGTAGATCCTTGTGATGGAACTTTTCCAGACTACATATGCATGTCATGTCAGCCTTTCTATTTAAAATCCATTAAAATAGAGAATGAGTACAAAGAAGCTCAAAACATCTTCCACCAAAAACAAGGTTGTTCAATTTCCACAATAACGACAGATAATGACAGCAACAAGCATGGGTTTTTTTGAAGAAACAACTATTAATCCAACTAAAGGACAAGCCACTGTGCTATCAGAAAAAATGGTCTTGGATAGAGAATTTGCTGTGTCTGATGCTTTAAACTGTAAAGCAGGTATTTTTACAGATGTGTTGAATGAAATAATGGCACAAACTGCTCCAAAAGAACCAGTAGATGCAGGAAATGACAGTGAAGTACAGTCATCACCTCTGCCAGTTTATACAGTTTTTCCAACAATTATTTCATGTATTTTTCCATGGACAGTGTCATTTACTCAGCACACTACAGATAATACCATGAAGGTTACTTTTTCTCTTCCAAATATCGGAAAAGGTGGTGTAATAACGAAGTGGAAGGAGTTAACCCTTTTTCTTCCTTCTGAAATAAAAACATTTCCTTCAAAGGATTTTAGTCCATTTACAGTAGAATTCTTGGGTAACAAAATTGACCATGGGGAACTCCCACACAATATTTTTCAAGAAAACATATTAAACTCTGCTTTGGGTGTCATGCTTAAAACTATTGAAAACTTACCGGTTTGTCCAGGTATATATGATCCAGCCCTTGTTGATATGGCTGAAAGAAAAAGGGAAACAAATTTATACTTTGTGGATGAAAAAGGAGCAAATGTAGATGGAGAGATTGTCAAGTGCGTTAGGAGCTTAAATTGCACCTACAAACTACCTGTCCATTCAAAAACCAGATGCCCCAAATGTCAAGATATTTTACGAACTTGCTTTCGTTGGAAAACAAATCCTTCATCTGAATCATTTGAGTCTAAAACAGCCTATGATTCACACACTAAACTCTGTACTCTTTCACGTGCTGAACTCATAGCCAGAGCAAAAAATCTACACAAAGTGGTTGCTCAAAGCCAAAAAAAAGCAAAACGATATTACAGTTTGTACCTAAAAGAGAAACAAAAAAATGTGAAAGCACCAAAAAATTTTCAACCCAAATCATCTGACCTTGCTAAACTAATAGATATTGCCATTGAAAATCATTGGCTTGTTGAAAATTCTGTTCTCTATGCTCTACTTACTGACACTTTAACCTCACTGAAGAAACAGGAGGAGGAATTTGCAAAGCAAGGAAAACTTACCAAAAATAAGCAAAAGCCCCACCCTAAAGGTATGAGATATAACCCTCATGTGATAAAGTGGAGCTGCATGATAGCAAGCAAATGTCACAAAAAAGGTTATGAGGTAGTCCGAAGCATTCTTCCACACCTACTAAGCAAGGTTACACACCTGAGAGGCGCCCACCAAAAAAACAAAAAGTTGGAAGAACAGAAACAACTTCAGACATTAAAGGTGGCAAAAAAGAGTCAAAGTGTAAATCATTTAAAGAGTTGATTAAAAGCATGACTACAGAAATTGACAGTGACAGTAGTGACGATGATTTTGCAAAAGCATTTCAACCATTAATTGATACAGATATGTCCTTTGTGACACTAGATGAACCCACAGAAAGTGAAAAACATGCAATGCAGACCAAATCTTACATTTCTGATGCATTTGATTATTCGCATGAATTTCAAATGGTCAAAACACAAGATCTTTGGGAATATAGGGAATTTGACAGATCTCTCATGCCAAAAGCTGGCAATAATCACGATCATCTTGAACAAGTAAGACGTTTCATTTTGAAAAATGGTTTTCAATATCATGTGATCTTACAACTGGAAGAGCCTATATCACTGAAGGAAACCATCGTCTTTGGGTGGCCATTCAGGAAGGTATACCATTCATACCATGTCGTGTTATTCCTCACTGGCTGCCCCCCCAATGGCTCTTACAAAAAGCTTGAAATTGATTTTTCCACTTTAAAATTTGGGGAAACAGTACTTCCTGAACAATTGGGATTGACGGTTGCACAGATTAGTTTCAATAAGTGCATAAAACAATAACCTTCATAAAAGATGTATCAAATCTATTTCTGTTTGTATACATAAACTTCAACACTATCATAATTATAGTGTTCTTAAATTAAAAATAATTAGTATTAATTTGTTGATTCTAATATTTTGTACTTTGACAGCAGAGATTCCTTGCACCCCCGATCAAAAATTATTTAATGGAATATTGCAGTTAATATTGTACAATGCAATTGCACATAGATTCTAGCCTAGCAGTGTTATCCCTCTAGCATTAATATATGGAGAGCCGTTTGTAGAGCCTGAACATTAATTTTATAACCTGCATGTATTTCAGGACCGCTATCTATTTGCCATTCAAAAAATTACGTTTTCCTGATGTTGATCCATGCACAAAACATGCATATAAGTCTCCTGTTGTTAGAGGTAAACGAGTAAATTTCAAAACTTACCACTGATCTCTACTGCCAACCTGTTGCAGCAGGTAGTGACTTGATGTAAGCAGATTACATTTATGTCGTCTCCACATTTTTTCATTCCGTCGACTTTAAAGGGATTGATGAGAAGAACTACACACTTTGGCTCGCTGAAACTCGGCGTACATTAAGCTCAATGTATCATAAACCAATCCTCCTATTCTGAGATCAGGATATTTCCACACCACCTCGCACGTTGCCCGAAAGCGATAAACGATCATACAAACTGTGCCAATTTATAGACACTTCGCGGTACCTTTCTTTGCCTCATGTGATGCTTTTGAAACTTTTTCCGACTGAACCTTATGGCGAATATTTCCATGTTATTTTTCAAAAGCTCTACCTTATTGAAGAAGGCAAAAGATGAATTCAAACATTCAGAAAATTGACACCCTTTGCAACGTAACGAAAAAGAAATTTGCCCGCCATTTTGAAAATCACCGATGTATGACGTGACGTCACACTGGCAGTGATCAGTGAACCAATGTTTACTGTAGAGACGGCCCCTCCCTCCTGGTTGAATTTTAAAACAGTACATTTTGCGCTTCGCCGGGAAGAAAACATTGTTAAATTCCTCGAAGGACGATTTCGTAACCAAACGCTTTCTTTAGTCCACAAAAAGAAAACTGAACATTCTTTCGAACTTTCCCTTTCCACTTGTGTCTTTTAACGGTGTACTTTTAACCCTGAAATGCAAAACGTGTGTCTTGATAACCACCCCATTCGATAACCAGTCTTCTCTCACTATTATACCTAATGCCTATGGTGAGATTCACAGATTGCGTGACAGCTTTAACTCCGTGTTTTATACTCTCCGCATAAAACATGCTTTTTCAACCAATCTCATTGCGTGTTGTATCCAGCGAAAATTTATTATAATAAATAATAAATAACAGGTGACTCAGGTGGAGATCTGTCGCCTTCTGACCCACGAAAACAAGGACAAAAAATGCACTAAAGAGACAGTAGCGATACAATAAGGAAGGCGGAGAAGCAAAAAAGGCCGAGAATGAATTAACAATAGCAGAGAACTTTTCAAGATTAAACAGGTTTGAAAAGATAGAAGTTCGGTAATAACAATGAAATCTCTCAAAACCAAAACAATGTAAAATACAGTGCTCAGTGTAGATCATGATTTAGAGATTTATTTCGTCAATCAATAGTCAATAGTCCTATTATTATGCCTTTTTAATTTTTTGGTATTCCAATTTAATACTGTTGCTGTTAATTCTGTTATTATTTTAGACAGGGAATAGTAAGACATGTGCTTAAGGGCGCTTTCCATTTGTCAGAACTGACCGCCCGGGCCATTCCCGTCGTAATAAGAATTTCACTTTTAATCAAAACTATCCAGCCAGATCAGTCAAACGCTAAATAGCATGCACGAAGGAAATAAGTTTTTATCAAAAACCCTTGGAAAAAGCCTATTCCATTTTCAAAATGGCCAGTGCAGCAATGGCCAGTTCTGACTTTTGGAGAGCAACTCAAGTTAAACGGACGAAATAAAAGGATAATACTACTTTGATGACCACAATGGGTGATAAATTAAAGTTCTTTATTCGTTGTAGAAGGGTCTCTCCCACTGATAATTGTTATTGTCAAAGTTGCCAACAAAAAGATGCGTCAGGCTTGAACAAATTAAAAATGCAGGCGATGTGCATTTTCGCACTCTCTTTTAAGTCGATCCTTCTTCTCCTTTTTTCTAGCTTGAAATGTTTTTCATTTGATTGACTTTGGTGCTGCGCACCCTCTCAGATGTTAAATTTTTGTTTAGGAGAAAACTTTCAATTGCAGATACACTTATGATACCACCAAATCAAAACGGTGGAAATGCAGTGATCTATCATAATAAATGTTTCTTCCTTAATTTCTTTAAGATACGCGATACGAACAAAGCTAAAGACAGTTAGCCTTCGATCTTTCCACGGCATTCAGGACAACTTCACGACTAAAATGTAAGTACACTTTCTACACTTTTGTCACGCTAAGACTTCATTCTTCATCGCTAAATGGCGGGTGAAAAGCAATTCAACTATCTCGTCTAGTGTTGTCACAAATGTGATGAGTCAAGAGCCATAATGGGATGCGTTTAACAGTACGATGTGGAGAATATTTACTTGTCATGCGTACACTTCCTAATTCTTTTATTGTTCAGAGGGAAAAATTAAGATTTCAGTTGCTCTTTTGTTAAAAAAGTGGATACTATCAGGCTAAATAGTTGCAAAGAGGTTAATCTTTTAACTTCCTGTACAAAACAGAATACCTGTAGTTTTCCCGCTACCTAGACTCACCTAGGCAAACGGTTGATTTTCCCCACTTCATCGATTGCGCACAGGATTAGGGACAATACATGTGAAGCGAAACTTTGCTTAGCATTTTTCCCCTTTCCCTCGCTGTTTTACAGTTTTCTCTCGTCAAAACAGTACAACTGAATAGTTTTTTTTTTTTTTTTACAAAAATGCTTAAAACGTGTACGTGTTTGTCCACAGGTAGCCCAAGCTCGAATATGAGCATGGGCGAGCACCGGCATTGTTGCGTAACATTCAAAATATAAGGATTTGTATGGGAAAAAACCTATCGTTTCTCTAACCTACGAAAATGAAAGGATTTCAATAAAAAAAAACAGCTTACCTTACTTAAAATGTGTGTTACGTCTCTCCTGTGTTGTCCACGGGCAGATTTATAGCCGTTTTATGGGTTTTCATGTAAACGGTTTTCTCTCTAAATAAAGGTCTAGAGGGGTACGGATTATTCACGACAGATGGGTTATCCGCAGTTGATAATTCGCGTCAGATAGGTAGTACGTCTTAATTTAAAAATGGAATGGTTTTAATTTTGAATGAACCATCCGCCTGACTTTACCCGCCAATTTTGACGGACAGTTTGAAGATGGATTATCCGTTTCAGATAGCCTGGGTACAGTCGTCCCCACTTCCCCCTCCCCCACAGACATCCCTTCTCCGATTTTTTCCGAGGGGGAGGAGGCAGCTGTACACAGGCTATCTGAAACGGATAATCCATCTTCAAACTGTCCGTCAAAATTGCTGGATAAAGTCAGGCGGATGGTTCATTCAAAATTAAACTTTTCCATTTCCAAATTAAGACGTACTAACTATCTGACGCGAATTACCAAACGGATAACCCATCCGCTCATGAATGGCTAGTCTGGGACGGATAATACATTTCTAGCTCTAGCTAGTTTGAAAATGGCCAATACCAAAAATTCCTGAGTCCAGTAGTGAAGGACTGTGCAGAACGACTGTCTGCAGTTTCCTTGTCCATAGGCCTCATTATTCCGCGCGGCTAATGCGTTTTGGGTCACCTGGTCCGAGCGAGTCTTTTTCTCAGATACGCCACCGGAATGCCTTGACCGAGATTGACCGAGATTGCGTGGGAAGACGCCGAACAGGGACTAGGCGTGGCAATGTCTACCGTAGCGACAGAGAAAAACAGGGAATTGTTGTTTATCGCAACGTGTTTTACACTAGGCGGTGACATTGTTTTTTCACTAGTATTTCAACGGGACGAACTCCCGAAAATCGCCAATTTTAATCCCCAGCAAAAAGCCAGATTTTGCTATGGAAAAAATTAGTTCCCCGAGAGAGGGGCGGAAATGGAGTCTAAACTGGTCTAGGGCAAAACTAAAAAGCGCTTGGCCTAACGTGCGTACGGAGTCGAAATAGCCGGGAAGTAAATAACGCAAGGTTACCATTAAGTGAGTTTAACAAATCTAGGGAGCAATTACCTTTACGGTTAACTCGTTTTTGCCCTATTTACGGCTAACAGTTAACATGTTTCAAGTTTTACGGCTATCGACTAAATTTGTGGCCGTTTTACTCCTATCGGTTAACCCCATTGAGACCCTCGTAAAAGCTTCCCCAACAATTCCGCCGGGTCCCTATTGTATCATCTGCAGATTTCTTTCCGTTTCCAAACTTAGCGATTCTTATCACCTCTCTACCGCTCTTTTTCAATAGAAGTTTGGAAGAAGGAAAAATTGGGATTATGAAATTGGGGGAAGCAAGAGCCTTCAGAACAACAACAACAACAGTTTATCTGTGAGTTAATTAGCATAACAACAAAGATATGAAAAATTTGAATAGTTGCAGCTATTTTTTCACTTTATCATTAGCCCCTAGATAGCACTTACTTTGTCTTTTTTCTCTTATTTTTCACTTTAGCGGTTTAGAGCAGGATGATTCTAAATATATCGACATCTCTGATTCTCGGGCTAGACACGACCTACTATCAGCCTTTAAAAAATCTGGATTTGCCAATCAAAGTCTTGGAGATTACAAATTACTACCATGTTCACTGGGCTGGTTCGTTAATTCCTCCTCTGAAGACAATAATTGCAAAGAGTGTCCAGCAGGTAAATTACCTCTTAATTTAGCTGACAATCATGGATATAACATCAATTTGCCTTTGATATATACATTTTGTTCTCATTGTTTAACGTGAACTTTATACCCTGGGTACCAGAGGTACCAAGACCGCGCTAGAAAAGTCTCTGGCACCCAGGGGAAAGAGTATCAGATGAAGTGTTTTTATTTCTTAATCATTCTTAATAGAATACTTAATGCACAGAAGATCTTTCTGATGTCTACAACTTTTTAAAAAACAAAGGACACACCTTGTGATTTTTTTTGTCTGATTGAAAAGCAAAGTAAACCCATTTCCGTAGTCTAACACTGACGATGTTGATCCACTAAAATATAGGATAATGATAATGTTTAGCAAATACAGTAACAATTTCAGGTATTGGAACTGCTTTGTACTCACTGTTAACCAATTTTATTTGTTTTTATGCCTACAACACTCTCATTTACACACACCCTCCCTCCCTACCTTACCCACTATTTAGTGGAGACTTGGGAACCCTTTCATTAGGGATTCCATACCACACCTGTAATGCCACAAAGGTTGCAAGAGAAACTACTGTTTTTTTTTGTCAAAGATAACGCACGTTAGTTTAGGCTACTGAATCCCAATCACATGGTATAATCAAAACAATTAAGCGTTTGCTTCATATTAGCTGAGGATTTGTGCAGGA